ATTTCTATATCTGCTGCAATCCAGAGAGGCTTGAGATCCTGGAGACCATGTGGGTGTCCTAATCCAACTACATTCATCTAAATCACACAATTGCTCAACAAAATTTTATATTGCAATAGAATCATCTTTATCTAGTCAATGAATGGAGTTGTTACTTAAGCCTAGCCAACAGATGAGTAGGGGTAGGAAAAACAGCCGCCTCACTGTGGGAGCTGAGACTCTGGCTGCCTTTTATCATTGTGTTGTGTGAACTAAGTATTTATTATAATGTTACTCTCTCTTGTTTAAATTAGTGTTATAATTAACTGTTTTTCTTCAGAAATAAACTGATGGAAAGCTGTTAAATGCAGAATAACTTCATATTTTTTCGCTGTGTATTTCCATTCCTTTGGACAGATCATGCCTGTCCTAAGTAAATGCATTCACATTATTCATCTCTAAACTTTGATTATATTATTTTCTGTGTATGAATCTTTTTTCAACAATTACATGAAGGAAAACAATTTCCTCATTTCTATTTTATTTCTATTTTATATAACAGGAAAAAAATCATGGTTGACGTAACGTCCAGTATCTGGATCGCACCTCCTGTGCCTTGTGAAACAATAAGACAGTTGGCTCCAGGAGTCGTTAATAAGACTCCAGACTGATGTGATCTATGGCCTATTCTCCACTGTGTTATCATGACACAACCTGATCCAGGATCAGTGAATAATTCAACACCTAAACTCTAGCTTCCCATATGGTCAGATTTTCAGGTGAGGCACAATATTACAATGGAAATATCCAGGCTAATGATAAAAGCAATCAAAACAAGATGCAAGACCAAAACATAACTTTGTCTTAAAACGGCATGGCTGCATAATATGACTGAAATGTTTTAATCCTGTCGCTGCATCCAAACATGTGGATGACGAGAATCTTGACGTGTTGTTCGCCATTCAGGAGCAAAACAACATCAGATCTGCCGTCCGGTCTCCAGGAAACCAGCAGTTATCAAGTAGAGCTCTTTGCTATGATCCCCTGAGTGCGACACATGTGTGACGTCAGGGGAGAGAGACCAGCGCCGCTGGAACAACAAAAACAGCTCCGATAACAAGCAGTTCTCCTTAGTGAGAAGCTGCCTGATGTCAGTTTTTCTCTGTATAGGATTACAGCTCAGACACAAATTGTGTTTTGTCTCAGAGAAATGTTGGACGGCACAGTTTTTTATTATTATTATTCACGTATGACATTTAAGAAGAATTAGGCTACACAAAATATGAATGATCAAACCAAAAAGCGTGCAATAAAAACAAAACATCATCGTCAGGACTTCAAACTTGCTCTGATGATTTCCCCCTGAATTCATAAACTCACAGATAAAGCAAGAAGGTCTTAAATCGTTTACAGTGGCAATGCAGAGAAGCGTCCTGACCTGAAATAAACTTGAGGATCTGTTGACAACCAACATCCTATTCTCAAACTCTGCTGATTTAAATCTGACGTGAAAACAATGACGGCTATCAGCCACACATTTTTTTCAGTTCAAAGAACGCTAATGGCTAAAAAAATAACTCAGAAATAAAGTGCCCTCTCCAAACTTATCTCCAAAAGCCCTCATACTAAAACTCATACTAAAACTTCTGGGAACAATATAGAAGAATAAATAACGTATGATATACTGTAAATTGTATGAGTAATGCATTCCACCGAGACTAGAAAGTGATTCACTCAAAAAAAAAACTCTGAAATTCTCTCCCAGAAGAACTACTTGGCACGCTGTGATGCTGCTCTCCTCTGTACAGCTGTGCATCAGTTTGAGCAGAAATGCATCTTGGTAATTATTTATCTTGCACAGTTGTTGAAAGAAGTGGGATTTTTAGCAGAAGGTCGCCAGCTAAACCTTAGAGTTGAGCTCTGTCTCTTTTCTGTGGTCGTCAGAGAGATCACTGGAGTGACACTGGCCTGGTCCCTGGGGGTGGGCATTTATCCTATCATTTACTGTTTATCGGGAAAAACTTTGAGAATTTTGAATTTAGATGTATGGTTATCTAGACAAATTTAAAATAAAAACAGAAAAAAGATGATTAGATGCAGCTACCGTGTGCAGTCTAGGGATATAAATCACACTTCTTTCAGCCCTTAGCTCACACCAGTGTCCTTCAAACAGTTATGTTTGTTTTAGATATATATAAGTAAATGGTGTCCAAAAAAAGCCTGTTTTAAAAGAGAATGTGGTACTACTGTGCCATGCAGTTACCTAAAAAAAATAATTAATATTTGTGATTGAAATCATTTTATTTTAAGCAATGTAAAACATTTAATATGACACAACTGAACAAATATAGTATATAATTCAATTAATAAATATCTATATTTCTACGTTTTATGCTTTTTTTCCCCAACAGTACCAAAAAATATGGCAGTAAAATTCTAAGCCTGCCCCAACCTGGCTCCATTTCTTTTCTGGGCCCACAAAATCAAAGCAGAGGAGTTCATAAGAACCTCAGGTCCAGGACTTGGCAAATGAACTAAAGGACAATAAAACAGTAAACACTTCTAGTATAGATATGCACGTTATTGTAACAGTAATCTGGGATGGGCTCCTGGAGTACAAAACCATTCAAATAGAGAATTAACAAATCAAATGCACTGAACATCTCCCGTTTCATATTGTCAGAATGAAATCAAGCTTCTGCAGTAAAGCATGAATACTTATTCAAAGAGATGATCAAAGAGCCTCAAGCAGGTATTTCAAATATGCGACACTTGCTGCAGCAGGTACAAACGTTCACCAGTTTCAGGCAAACAATATTTTTTCTTTTTTTTTTTTTTTACACGGTTTATTGCTAAACACACAAGTTCAGTATATGGACTGCTTATTTAAATTGGTGAAGTGCAACACAATTACATAATTGCACAATTACTTTGCACTAACTCAAAAGAAACCAGCACACAGAAACATGCAGCTTTAGTGAGATAACCGACCGTATTATGACAACCTCACCTAATCCTTGTATGTTTATGAAAATATGACTGGAATCCCGTTTAATAATAACTGCGATGATGACATGATTAAAACTAAATTTGACAGTAGCTATTTTAGCCTAGCTAGAAGGAGGAATGTTTTTTTAGATGACCAGCTACTGTGCTTTGTTTAGCTGGTGGAGGAAAGCTGTTTAAATTCTTAATTAATTTGCATTTTAGACAAACTACATTTTTAATTAAGTCATTAGATATTCTTAAGCATTCAAACTCTGTTGCTTCTTGATATTTGTCACTTTATATTCATTCAGTGGTGTTTTTCCCAATAGTAGACAGAGACCTCGTTGTAATTAAATTGTGAACTGTTCTGTGAAAGTCCCAGAGTTTGTTTATTTTAAGAGAAGATTAGTGAAGGTCGGTCATGAAGACCAAGGAACAAATTGTCTTCTTTTTTCCAGAAAATTTCAGAGCTTAATCTCAAAATTTCTCTCAAATGTTTGACATTTGAATCTCTGAAATTTCCTTGTCCTTTTTAGAAAAAGAATAAAACAAAAGGTTTAGTTGAAAATGATTCCTCCTCTTTATTATTCTCCGTTTATTACGGCCCTAATACAATGTCATAGTTATGTTTGATTCAGACACCTAAAACATCACTTAGCTGTTTGTTTCGGAGGGATTTCTTTCAGTCTATTTTGAATTAACAAAACCTGCCTGGATATGAACTTGGAACATCTAAATACCTGGAAATTAAAGCTTAAAGCTAATCTTCGTCTTACATTTAATTTTCTTGTGAAAGCCAGCACAGATCATAAAAGCAATACGGTGTCCGTTACGTTCAGAGGGAGGACTGTAGACCTGGTCGAGCGGTCGCCTCAATTAAAATCAGCTTCCACTCAAACTCCTCCTGCCTGCGCGTAACTGCGTCCACTTGTCCATTGATCTCACAAGTATCTGCAACTGGCCTGACACCACGCTACATCTGTGAAGGTGCCCCATAAAACTTTACCAGGCGTGTTACAATGGAGGCCTTTATACGGCGGCGGCTCGCCGCGGCTTGTCCGCACAAAGCCCGCCATTGAAATCTGGATCTCATTCAGCAGCCAGAGTTGCTCCTGTTGAGCCGTGTGACCTTCCAGGTTGGAGACACCACTTCCTCCGACCGGAGAGGCGCTGGAAGCCGCAATGATTCACATGCCTGGCTTTCAGACCTCATTGAGTCTAGGTGAAGGGTTTTTTTGGGGGGAGGGTTTAGGGGGAATCATCGTCTCTCCACCCAACACCACCCTTTTTTTTTTGCCTCCTGAAAGCGGTGACACAGCAAAACAAGCAGACACTCCGCTAACAAAAAATCTGGCATCGCTTCAACGACTGGCCCACCCACGTTTCCACACAAGGGCACGGGAGCACCCGGGCGAGAGAGAGAGAGAGAGAGCAGATTTGGAAGACTGAAGGGGAAAAAGAAGGTAGATTGAAGAAATAAAAGAATTACACAAAGGAAAAACTTTGTCCCACAATAAACCAGACACACCCAGCTGTTAATGTACATCCTGTATATCTTTTCACCACTTAAGACCTAAGTGGAGTTGTCTTTAAAGAGCCAAAATCCCACTCAGACGAGTTTATTCCTGCACCGTGGCCTTCGTGTTTAGGAGAAGTCATGCTTTTAGAGGTTATGTTCATTCGGCAAACAGCTTGTTAAAGGTCTGGCTTCCCTTGGGACTAAAACGCTCCTGGCTTGGGTTTCATCAGCGACACAAGTCTCACCAGTCAACCAGTGCTTGGAAGGCTAGTTCTTTGGAGACAAAGAAATAGCTCAAAACTGCTCTACTTCTGGACAGGAAAATAAAAAATAAAAAATAAATCACCCAGCAGACCTACACAACATGTCAAAATAAAAGCTACTTGTGCAGTTACTTACATATAAAGGAACCTCTTGTCTGTTCACCTCCATTTTCCACCCATCCACCAGATACCTGCAGATGAAAGAGTTGAGTTACTCTAATGTTAAGTTAATAATAACACCAGAAACCACGTAGCTGTGGGTGGCCTGGACCCGGTCTAATCTATAACCCATGCTTTTTTCAGACCGCACTCATTTGTTCTTAGTTGTCTGGAGTTTTTTTGTTGTTTTTTTTGTCAAGAAGCATGAAAAGAAGAAACAATTATACCCCGGTGAGGTCAATTTAATCTTGGTGTTTGATAATTTGAACATTTAATGATTATAAGCAAATCAGAAATGGAGGCAAAAGGGATAATTCTGCTCGAGCTGCTCCAGTGAAAGAGAACAAAGCTACTTTTGAAAGATCTTGCAAAAATTAGATTAGCATGGGTTACTTTTATGAGATCCAGCAATTTTTATGAGAAATTCTGTGTTGCTCTGACAAAGATTTTTTCCAAGATCCCAGATTACTTTCAGCTAGTTTCTGCAAATATGTTTTTTTTCTTACCTCTTCCTTATACTTACATGTTTACAGTGGAGATTCTGTCTGTGGTCTGAAGCTACGCGTTTGCAAATAAAACATCATCTCACTAAGATAACTCAGAATACTATGAAATGTTTTCTGCTGCCCTAAATGTCACATAACTGGAGGAGATTCTCCTTGAATTACTGCAAAGGATTCTCAACCTGAACCTTGTATAATTTTCGCAATATCTCAAAAATTAACTCAGCATTATGGGAAAAAAAAAAAAGAATATTTCAACACTAATATCCTAATTTGAGGCTTTTCTAATATCATGCAGTTTTCTTTTATCTAAAGACTATCGTGTTCAAAATATAGAAATAGTAGTTTAAAAAAGTCATACTGACGTAAAAGTCAAGCACCTCTTAATTATTTTTTTAAAACTTTAGTGAATGCATGAAGTTTTCGACCAACACTTGAGCCTGTGGAGCTGATGCTACAGGGGCTACACTGTCTATCTGCTCTGACATGGTGAGTAGAACTGCATCTTCTGCTCAGTTGTAATCAGCCATGATATCCTCAACTGAGCATTTGGCTGCATACTAACACCAACAGTTTGATCATAGGGATAGACAGGTTAGTTTTGCTTCTCGTTTGTTTTTATTTGTTCGCTCTCTATGCTAGGCTAATAATGACAAAGACAAAGCAACATCCTCCTGCTGCTGTCAAGCTGCTTACATACGTGTCTAGAGTTGTTTTGTGTTGTATAGTTAAGATTTTTTTTTTTTTAATAATCTTACAGCTGACGTTGTGTCCCAGACTTTCTTTTTCATTAGCTGTTGCAACACAAAATGTTTATTGGCAACTCTGTTGTTTATTTTTAAGACGTTATGAGGAACAATTGCAAAACCTTGCAAATGCTGCAGAGTACGTTGCTAAGTAACCAAAGAGTGAGTTAGTTAAGGCCACCCACCTCGCTTTTAGCTGGCCGTGAGAGATCAGCTAAAGTCTTTCGTCTGCCTACATCCCCCAGAATGCTGTGCAGTTCAGTGAAATTATTGAATATTCTTTCAGATGAATTATCTATTGATATCGATTACATGTCTTTATATACTTTAAATAAGACAAAACTAGCTTGCAAGTAACTTTTCAACAATATATAGGAGCTTGTTTTTAGTCAAAATTGTCTTAAAATTAGTTAAAAAGTACTAGTTCCATTGGCAGATTATTTCTATTATAATAAGAAGTTTTTTCTATCTTATAAGTGAAATAATCTGCTAGTGGAACTAGTACATTTTTCATCAATATTAAGGAATTATTGAACTAAAACAAGCAACATTTTTTTTTGTTGTTGAAAAGTTATTTGTAAGTTAGTTTTGTCTTATTTCAAGTGCACTAAGACAAAAATACTTCTCCATGCATATTCTGGGAGTTGTGATTCCCTTTGAGTGTTTTTTTTATTTATTTTTTTATGCGTCTAAACCTGGAAGGGCTAGGAAATAACACCCTAGAGCACTAAGGTCCCTACCAGGTTTGCACACTATAAAGTAACCAAGACACATACAGCATTTTCAGGAGAAGATACCACAGGCAAGGGCGTCTCCGATTTTAATACTATATCAGTCAACAGGCGAGTCTACATTTCATATTGTAGTGTAAACATTGGCGCGGGTTGACAGGCTCCGCCCCATCAGGTCAACAAATGCGAACGCTCCGTTTCGCTTTCCTTTACAAAAGCTTTAAAAATAAAAGGGCATGACCCGAATGCACCCGTTCAAACAAAGAAGAGGCGCCTGGCTCTGATCTTACGGAGTTCAACAATTACCGTGATGTCAAACCGTCAGACGATCAGATAACCAAACGAAGACAAAAAAAACAAAAAAAACAAAAATCACCTTGGGAAGAGGATGAGTTGCAAAGACAATTCTTTACGTTTGTCATTGTCCTGGCCCTGAGCTTACAGTGACTCAGAAACCTGAGCTGGCTTAGGGCCAGGCTCCCCCCGGGACCCAGCGTGGGAAAAGAGATTACAAGCACCAGAAGATTGCACGCTGTCAAAAGGCATTCGGTGAGCGTCTTTGACAGCTAAGAATGCTATGCAAATGTTCTCAGATGTAAGCGAGTACGCCCTGCAGTTTCTTACCAGGTGAAGTGGGATTGGATTATGTAATTCCTCTCGCATGGCAAGCTGCCACACTGCATGAAAAGAAGTAGCTTTAAACTAGCTCCCTGATGCAATTACACCTTAATTTGCTGCACATTTCACACGCAAGAAGGAGACTAATACGGCGCTAATGAGCGCTAACATGATCATTAAGAAGAAATGATGCAAATGTATCAGGAGTTTTCCTCCCGGTTAACTGTGATGCAGTCGTCATATGCAATGCAGGAAACAGGTTTTGGCTTCACTTCAGAATGTAAACAACCAATGACAGATGCTATTAAAGATGCTATCCTCTAATGTATTTTTCCACCACTAGCAAATCTGTTACCACGTAAACACTGACGATGTTTGGATTTCTAATGTAGGATTTCACAGAGGGCGTTTGGAGTTAAGAGGAAAACTGCAAACTCTGCTTAGTTTACAGTTTGGTCGATGACATCACAAGTTGCACAAGAACCGAGCTTCATCAGCTGGCAATGATGAAGATTGTGACAGATAAGTGACTCTTTGCAGATTTTGAGAGAAATCTGGATTGCATTAGCATTGTCGCCGATTGACGACTTAGTGTCTGCGACGGAGTTTGAATCGGGTGACTCCCAAGCCGAGATGGATACTGCTGCTGAAGCAAACTGTGACAAGTACAGTGACAGTTTCCTATTTGAAGCTTTCCCTATGATTGGTATTCCTGTGTATTTGAAATTCATAAATGCATTTTTGAATTTCATATTGCCTCATCATCACTCTTACGTGATTTGTCAGTACGAAGGAAATGAGTGCATTTGGATCTTATATTACTTGAGTTCATCGATTGTGGAGTATTAGACTTTTTTGTCTCATTTCTTTCCTGTGATGTTGACCAGAAAGATGGAAATGGCATAAAGTGTCCTACAGGTACAAACTGCAAAAACACAACATCTTAAAAGTATTTTTGTCTAGTTTCTAGTATAAATATCTCATTGCACTTAAAATAAACCAACATACAACTAACTTATCAGCAAGATACGGAAGTTAGTTTTTTTTAAGTTTTCAAAATAGATAAGTTTGTTTTGAGTAAATAATTATTGAATATAAAAATTACTTATTCACTAATAATATATTTTTCCCATGTTATAAGGGAAATTATCTATGAGCCTAAATAGTGCTTTTTCAATATCTATATTCAAGAATTATTTACTTAAAACAAGCTTATTTATCTTGCTGAAAAGTTACTTTTGAGATTTGAATAATATGTGAGAACACTGAAGAAATTTCAGAAAGATTTGACAAAAATAGAGCACTGTTTGTTAAAAATACCAGGACAGACTGGAAGGAAACTTAAATATCCATTTAAAAACAAAACGTGCCTTTTGTGATGTCACTGGTCTAATTGCATTCAAAGCAGAAAGAGCACAGACTGTTTTTGTCAGAGTCCTTGTTTAAAACACCGATTATGGCGGATCGAAGCTTCAAAACATTGTCAGACTAAGAAGCCTGTGGAACATCATCAGCATCGAGGCTTATTCATTTGGAACAATAATGCGACTTATGCTGAAAGCCACTCATGCAACCTCCCAAATGCACAAGAACAAACAAATGATGTGTGCAGGATCACAACAAAGAGTGGCTTGTGAGAGGAGCAACTCGAGCTCCGCTTCTTACCTGTGAACGCACCGGTCTAAACAGATCAATTAAACAAACGCACGCGAGATAGTTCATTAATATTAAAGCAGCACGAGGGAGAAAAAATGCGAAGCTATCTAAAAAGCTGTTTAAAGCACCGTTTTGTTGTGGGGGGTTTTTTTCCTGAATGAGAATGACTCAGTCTGCCATTACCTGATGTCGTCTCCGCTGTCGTCTGTCGCAGAACTTTCTGTTAATTCAGTCTCGCTTCGGCTTTCCGTACATTCCCGCAACTCTCACGCCCTCATTCCGCACCAGTTGCTTCGGTTTCATCCGCGGTTTTTTTTTTTTCTTCTCCTTCTTTCTTTTTGTACTGGGGGAAAAAAAAAACTAAAATCAGCACGAGGAGTTAATGTCTGCAGGTGTCGCCGTGCAGGGTTTACTGTTTCCAGGCTGCTCTCCTGCGGTCCAGCCCCCTGCCTCTCTCTCCGTCAGTCACCGGCTGCAGCAGGAGGACAGAGGAGGGAGACAGGACGAGTCCCACGGCCCCGTCACATGACGTCTATTATTCATTTGTACTTTGCCTACTACGTCTAGTCTTACATAAATCATTTCTTGTTATCTTATTAAGATTTTTAGGCAGTAAACAGTCAAATATTATGTTTAGGATAGTAGGCATAACTGCTGTGCTTCTAGGAGTAGTTTTGCTACACATTTTTCAATTACATACAATTTAAATTGAACCTAGCGGTCAAACAATGCTATCGAGTTTAGTTTATTGTTCAATTTGGTTAAAAAATGTCTAAGGAAACCCAACAGTAGCACAATGCATCACCTCACTGACTTCCTGAATTGTCATGGTTTCTCTGATGGATGGCTAATTTTATTATTTTTTTTACTTTGTTAAGCTTATTTTTATTCTGTTCTTTAAAATACCAAAATTTCCACATAACTTCATATTTCTGTCTGTCCGCTTGCTCAACTCTCTGCTAATTAAATCAGATAATTATTAAATAGTTTTAAATTGCCTTTTTTTAACCACTTTCTTACTCAAGTCATTTCAGTCAGTTTCGCTTCCCCTTACTTTAAAAAATATTAGTATTATTACATTGAATAGAATTTTTTGTTATTTTAAACACCTCTCATTTTGTTTTCATAACGGTGTCATATTGTAAATTTCAACCAATTAGAGACTGTTATCATGTCACTCTTACTATTGTTATTGCCTCTGTACATACACTTGGTGTCCAACTAAATCCGTGTTTCCTTTTGTAATTGGATTATTTCATCATAAACCCATAATTAAAAATAACTTAAACAAGATCAAATTCTTTAAAATAAAATATATGAATGATCAATTTGACTTACAGATAAGCTGAAATTAAAATTTGGTTTAATTATACTTTTTAATTAAAATAGTGTCTGGCGTAAAATTACCACCAAAGAGTGCAGAAAACTCTCATATTCTGACACTAGCTACATCTCATTTTGTGCTACCAAAGACAAACTTCGCCCCGAGATATCACTGAAAGTGACATTATTTTAAAGCTTAATTTCACTATGTGGTTAAAAAAAAAAAATTGTAATACCTATTTTCCGGCAACAAATGTGGGGCAAAAGGATGAGGTACACCTTTGAAGCAACAATCAGAGTATGCAATAGTCAAAGAATTTGATGTATGTCAAAAATGTATGCAAAGGTTTTTGTTTCTCTGCAAATACGTAAGACTGTACTCACTTTGCAATTGCGTTTGCTACCTCATAACAAAGAGATCCACTATAATCTTTTAAAAGCACACTGCAAACTATGGCTGTCACTATAAGATCCAAATAAAATTCTCAAGTACACCTGAATGTTGTTCCGGCTTATCTGGAACCACGTAAGCTGATATCAAGAAGATTAAAAGCCATCACTGAATTAGAGGATGCTGCAGGCAGCAGCAAAAAAAAAGAAAAGAAAAATGAGTTTAGGGGCATACACACACAGGCATTTTACTTCTGACTGACTTTGTTGTGGCAAAAAAAAAAAATGAAGCCTTCTTCAAAAATCCTTCAAGCATCTGTCTCATAAAGTCAGACGTATGAGTCAGGGTGAGGCAGCAGCAGATTCTTCACATCTAAAGAAACTTTTAATTCAGCAGACGTGTTGAAAGAAGACATCGGAACCGGTTTGGTCAGTGTAAACAAGCAAACACGAACAATGGCGCTATGATGCGGTAATACTCCCTGTCACACTACTGCGCCCTTGCACTTGAAAAACTGAAAAACGTTATCAGGATGTATTTCAGAAAAGAGACGAGTGACATCACCTACTGTGAAAACCTGAAAGTAAGATTACTGGTTATGCACCAGTCCAGTACATAAACCTTTTCTCAATCCGATTCATTTTTGTGTGCTAATGGTTAGAGATTTTTCAAACCCTTGGGAGAGCTTGTGTTACGCCACACCAGCCTTCAGTGATGACATTTGGCCAAAAAACGGCGACACTTCCAACAACAAAAAAGCAGGATTGAAACACGGTGGTGGCAGCATCACTGCGTGGGGGTTTGCTTGTTTTTGTATTTCAAACAGGACAGGGGAGTGGAGGTTTGCAAAAGTTGACTAAAGATCTTTGCAATGCAGTGTCCCTTCATCATATCTGCAATGTTTGTGACCAATCACAAGTGAAGTGAATTTCAGTCATGCTGGTGTGGTGTTCAGGTACCACTACAACTAGCAAGAGCTGAAACTAAACTAAAGCACAGTATTTCTGACAAAATTTCAAATTTCAAACTAGCTCACTTTCCACATTTTGTCACGTTCTAACTACAAAATTCAACACAGTTTGTTTGGAATAAATACAAAGCTTAAAGATTTGAAAAATGTGTTCTGCATTTGTGTTCTGCATTTGTGTTGTGCATTTGTAATCTAGCCTGTCTGAATCATTACTCTGATTCACATTTTTGCTGCAATTACAGTTCTTTTACTGTGTGATTCGACCAGCTTTTCATATCTAGGGGCAAAAAATTTTCCCAAATTTTCTACATTTTAGTTAGATTAGATGGAGAAGGTCTGCTTAAATTGAATTTCAAGTCTTACCGCAGAATCATAATTATGAAGGAAGCAGGAGTACTTGGAGAGACTCTGCCAGTGCACACGGAGACCAGGCTAACAATTGTACTAATGTACACAGAGGAAATAGTGCCTCTTCTTACCCCAGTATTTCACTGCATTCAGTCAGTATTTTTATATTTTATATTATAATGAACTGTTCTGGTATTTTGTTTAACCTATTAATGTGTCATAAACAGTATTAATGATAAATAAATCAGCAGGCGTTTAGATTGTGCTTAACTTGTAAAACGCGGCTAAATGGTGAAGTTTCCTCTGCCGTGTTTGACTGTTAACATGAGGTGTTTCTGCGTTTGGTTTTCACCAGCTGTAGTGCTGCACTGTACTGTTTACCCAAACATCTATTCTTTGCTCCTATTAGTTCACAAGGACATTGTTTGAGATGTATTGTTACTTCACTCTGATCAAATTCCCAAGTATGTCCTTTATTGCCATATTCTTTTAAGAGACAAGAGACCTCGTGATAATCAGTTTAAGAAGTTATTTATTTTTGTGTTTTTCTGGCCATTTATATAGTCTACAATGTGTTTTTTGGCTCTGTTCCTTGAAAATGACAGTTTTACTGGAGGAAACGTGTCATGAATCACTCCCCACTGCATTTTCATCCACCCACTAACCAACTCTGAATGTTTTGTTTGTCTTATTCTGTAAAAAGATTTCTTACAACACACTGATAGTCGCAGCTTAAAAATAGAGTCCTCAGAGACTGATAAGAAATTACAGATTCTTTCTTCCAGATCATTTAAGTATTCTTTTTTTCTTTTTTATTTTTTTTATTTTTTGGAAACATGTTAACATTTTTATACCACAAGTTCAAAAAATACTTTTTTCTCCTATAACTATGGTGTCAAAACCACTAAAGCATAGTTTTTAATTAGTGTTCTCCATTCACGTGAAGCCGATATTCAATGATAAATTTAAGATAAATTCAATTTCAATTTCAAGGTAACATTTGATTTTCACCTTGACATTGGCGCCATCTGTTGGTAGAAGTGTAATAACAACGGCATAAATTAGGTTAATTTTTGCAAAAATCTTCAGATAAAATAACTTTTTTTTCCAGAAAATGTCTAACTTGCTCAGCATCTTGAATATTTCTTTTCTCACATTTGTCAAAGGAATTTAATAAAACACAGCAAGATGCACCGCAAATTACAAATAATTGAAAATGTTTCATGTATTTTGGTCAAAACAATAGATACACACTAGTTCTGAGCAAAAAGGTGCCCGATTTTTAAACACTGCTTAGAATGAGATCTAAACTGAGGCCATGTACAGATTTGAGATTATTTTTGGAGAGTATTTGATTTTACTATGTAATGTTTAATCTTTACAACATGAAACTTACCTGCAAATACTCTGGGATGTCATTTATAAAGTCCTGGGGGAGTGGCGGGGAATAATAGTTTTAAAAATACAGTGTACGACTCGACTTAAATGCATCATCATACTAAACCGCGGCTGAGTGTGCACCTGTTGGATAGCCGAAAACACCGGAAGTCCAAGGAGAACCAAATAAGGGAGAGCACCCAGAATCAAAGTGCGCATGCGCATATTTATCAAAACACCGAAGCTGCAGCGATGATTTTATGACGATTTTATAATTTAGCGTCATGTTGTATTATTTTTTCGATTTAGCTACTCGGACGCTGGTAACGTTTAAGCTTCAAGTCTGAACAACTTAACATGTTTTATTTCCCGAGAAGTAAGTATGACTGACAGAAAGCTGGAGCAACAATATGCTATAACATGCTAACAAATAGCTAACTGACAGTTTAGTTTGTGGGCATTTGGATGAATAAAATAAATGCTGCTTTAGTTTAATTCTTGTATTTTGGTACTCCTTGAGTTCAGTGAAGATAGCTCCGAGATATAGCGTTGTATTTCATTATTCTTATTGGTCCGCCTTAGCTGTGTGAAAGAGGATGGATAACGTTACCGTGGCAGCTGTAGAGGGGACCGCTGTCTGTCCCCTGGTCGCTGAGGACATGGAGGGGATGGAGGGGATCTGCGTGATGCCTGACCTGAGCTCCATAAAGACCGAGCAGTCGGTGGGTCCGACCCCCGACGAGCCAAGCCCTCAAAATGTGGCCATGGGCATCAAGTTCATCCTCCCCAACCGCTTTGACATGAATGTTTGCTCCAGATTTGTGAAGTCTCTCAACGAGGAGGACAGTAAGAACATTCAGGACCAGGTAAACTCTGACCTGGAGGTGGCTTCCGTTCTGTTTAAAGGTATGATCTGCCTTCTAAGTGGAAATTTGTTTCTTTAATGCACAAGAAGTCATCCTGTGTGTACACTAAAAGATCCCTTTTCTTCCTTTCAGCTGAGTGCAACATCCAAACCTCACCGTCGCCAGGTATACAAGTACGTCACGTTTACACGCCTTCCACCACCAAACATTTCTCCCCGATTAAACAGTCTACCACACTGACCAACAAACACCGTGGCAACGAGGTTTCCTCCACACCGCTTTTGGTCCACTGTAAGTGCTGTTTTTTTTTTTTCTTTTTGTATCATTTAATCGGAAGTGTAACACATTAAGTTTTCCTCTTATTTTCCAGCTTTATCCATTCATCAGCTGGCAGCCCAGGGAGAAATGGTGTTTTTGGCCAGTAGGATTGAACAAGGTGGGCAGTTCATCTTTGTTTTTAGAGCATGCATAGTTTTGTCTTTCAGTAAAAGCAATTTCTTGTCATTGTGTGTTCCTCAGGGCCCTGTTCTCTATACCCTCTTTTTCTGCACATTCAGTTTTCCTTCTTTGCAAACACAATTCCAAGACTGCTCACCTCAATACTATGACTACTGATGAAGTTTAGTTCTGTAAACAGGGATCATCTTGTAATCCCTTAATTTTCTATAACATCCAACACTGATTTTATCCAATAAATAGAGGGATATTTTTTACATCTTATATGTTCCATAGGGGAAAAAACTTCAACATTGTCAGTCAGCCTTTAGCCAAAAAGTGCCTAACTTGGTGTAACTTGTTTAATATCACTTCTAATCCTTCTATAATGTGAACAAAACAATTTAAGACGTAAACACTACGATGATTGCTAATTTAGACCTAATAATCATGAACTACAGAAAAAGTGTACCCACAGTTCCCTGTTCTTGTACCTCTGCCACCTCCAACAGATTTTAATCTCAGGTGTATTTCTTTTCACAGAGACCGTAATCAATCTCCAAGACGACGAAGGTTTCACCCCTCTGATGTGGGCTGCGGCGCACGGACAAATCGCCGTTGTCGAGTTTCTGCTGCAAAACGTACGGCAGAACAAAACGGAGCACGTAGCGGTTATTGAATCGACTCTGAAAACATTCACTCTCTTTCTCTCTCTCTCTCGCTTGGCTGCAGGGGGCTGACCCAAATCTGCTGGCCAAAGGGCGGGAAAGTGCGCTCTCTCTGGCCTGCAGTAAGGGATACACAGACATAGTGAAGATGCTCATCGACTGCGGAGTGGATGTCAATGAGTACGACTGGGTATGAGCTTGATTCACGTCCGCTGCATCCCATTGTGGTTGATGTGTTTAACATAGATCTGGTTATGGAAGGAAACAATGTTGAACTCCCTTGATCGACCTCTGGGCGTCGCTGTTTAGACATTAACTTATCTTCCTCAGAATGGAGGCGCCCCTCTGCTGTATGCTGTCCATGGCAACCACGTGCGCTGTGTTGAGATTCTGTTAGGTAAGGAAAATTCATCTGCAGGTAATGACTTCGAGAGGATAAATACCCGTCTGTTTTGTTTAATCCGACACTAACGTGAAATGTGACTCGTGTTTTCTAGATAGCGGCGCCGATCCTACCGTAGAGTCAGATTCGGGATTCAACGCCATGGATATGGCCGTGGCTATGGGTCATCGAAACGGTGTGTGAGGAATAAACGTGTCTGATGGCTACATTTAGCTCTAAATACAGCGCTGGTTAGAGGTTTACATGCTCATCAAAGATGAGAATAATTATCCAGGAAATGGCTTCAGTGATTTTTAAAAACAATAATACAACGTGGAATTTAGTATAAATATTTTTCATCCTCTCAGTTTTTTTTTTTTTCCCGGCTAAAGTTGAATCCAGTTACATTTAAAAAAAATAAAAAAAACATTTTTTTCCCCTGTTGTGTAAATATAAATCAAATATTTTCTGAACTGATATCTTGAGATGTTGCGTCAATATTTTCTCATATTCTTCCTTCATGATGCCGTCTCATAAGGAGCATCAGCCACCAAAACCTCCCCCACAACATGATGCTGCCACCCCCATACTTAGCAGTTGAGATAGTGTCCTAACAATTGTTACAGTTTCTTCCAAATGTAGCGATTAACATTAGAGCCAAGGACTTAAGTTTTGGTTTCTTCAAACCACAGAAATAATCTAAAAATGAAAGTTTGCCGCATTTGCAATCGGACTTAATTCTGTTTTTGGAGTGAAGTCTTAATCATAGAGTGGCCTCTCGGCTCTTGAAAAAACCGGCTTTAAATCCTGCGGCTGATTGGTACATTTTTGCACCAAAACCACATCCATCAGTGGGACATAACTCTTTCCCGAGCATAGAACCATTGAAGATGCACATGTAACACCTGGCTTTGTTTCTTTGGTCATGTGGCGCCATCTACTGGTTCTACACTTGAAACAAATCCGTGTTTGTGTGTTCAGTTCAACAGGTGATGGAGGCCCACCTACTGAAACTACTGATGGGAATCAGAGAGTGAACTCCTGGAGGACAGACTCCTTGTGGGACGTCGCTTGGTGCTGGACAATCATGTAGCATGCCCTGGATTACAGCCTGCGGGAATATTTTGATCTCTTAAAAACAAATATATTTAATTCGTGTCGTAAAATCTTATTTATTTAATCTTGTGCACACGGCAGCTTGTTTTCACTTCTAACCCTTTTGGAAGCAGTCATGCTCTGCACTTTAACGTAATCCTCTGGAGTTGTAAACGTAATTGGAGCACACCGAAGGACGTGGAAGTGAGGTGGAGACGAGTCGCAGACTACATGTGATGTTTTAAATTAAGTAACGATTGGTTATTGGTTTTGTCACATCCTAATATATTATTACACCTTTTCCACCTGTTGTTAAACCTCCTGCTGACCTAAAAGAGGTAGAGTGGACCCCGTGTGAAGTTTTCCGTTATTTTTTTTGTCCCTGTGGTTTCGGGAACTGACGACCGTAACATCTGCCTCGCTTTTCCCGAACGTAGAGCTAGGACTGCGGGAAGGTTAAATAACTTTAACCATACTGAAATGGTTTCTAAAGTTGGAAAAAAACCAAAAAGTTGTTCATCATCACGTCTGGTCTTCACAGCAAGCACATTTCAGATGCACACTGAACCGTGAGAACATGAAGCTGGCAACATGTCGGTGAATTAACCGAATCTTTTTGTGTGTGATTTTTTTGTTTGTTTTTATTTGAATGTATTGCGGGCCATTCTAGGGTCAGTTGTGTGTTTATGTACAGCCACGTTTAGATGTTTTGTGAATTTAAAAAGACGGCACACTGCAAATCGACAGCCCTATGTGGTATTGTGGTGCTTCTTTTGCAGTTTTGTATAAAATGGCTTGTGCATTAAAACAGTCGTAATTTTGCCGTCTGTCCAATTCTATTCGTTGGTTGTTTTTAAAAAAAAAAAGTTACATTTTTACCATAAAAAATAAAAGCCGTTTTAAAATACAAAAAAAAAACTGAAAGGGGTGTGTGTTTTTTTTTTTTTTTTTTTTTAAACAATCTAGATTTTCTTTTAGGCCACAGTGTGATGTGGTTTTGTGAAACTTAAATTACATAAAATCCCATTAGTTGTGGCAATTTACCAAATTGGTTGCGAGTGGAAACACAAAGGTGCCCTATAATTAGCACTTTTTAGATGTGAAGGATTCTGCAGTTAAAAGTGCTCCATACTGAACAAACATCGAGTCACAAAGCAACCCAAGAAATTAGTTTGAATTGAGTTAAAAGACAAAATTTAAAAAAATCTGTTTGTAATTAAAGCTAAATCATTAAATGACTTTTGAAGAAATGATTATTCAAAAGTTCATTACACTTGTTAGTATGGAAAGAAATGTAAACTGTTACCATGGCTGATCATCCAGCTAACCACATCAAATCGGCTTCAGACCAGTGGTCTTCATTCTGTCAAGATTCAGGGCTTCCATTTTCATCCAGAGCAACATCATGTAGCTGGATTCCTGCAGGTTTCACCAATTCAAATTTAAGACCTTTTAAGACTAATGAGAATGCATTGCGAGACATAATGAACAAAAAACAAATGCATGAACAAAAAAAAAAAATATATATATATATATATATATATATAACTAAAAATCATACTGGTTAACACAGGTGAGCTAATGGGCAAGACAAATACCATCCAGCCAACTGGCAATAAACCTGCTTTTACGTTTGATGGTCATCAGACCAGCAAGGATATATTAGCAGCTAGTTATCAGTAAACAAACATAATAAAAAATGTGATTAGCTGTATGGCCGCAACCGCTTTGAGTCACAGTGAAGATGACTGCATGTGACTCAAAGCAACAAAGTCTCACAAGAAAACTACACATAATGAGATTAAACAGTCCTGCCACAGCAAAATTCAAGACCCGCTGTTAACTTGTTAGGCCCGTCACGGTAACAAAACAGAAATCGTCCCAGACGTTATTGCGATAAACAGTACCGTTTGTTTATAGACCACTTTCAAGTAACCTAATGGTAATGGCATAATAACGCAAGAACCAATTCTTAAAAATCAATAAACTTGAAATTCTAAAGAACATTTAACACTGAGACTGGAAGACAAAACAACAGAAACAAATACAATGAATTATGAAGTCTGTGAACAAAATTGTAAAAAAAAAGAAAAAAAGAGGGGGAGCTAGTTGAGACTGAGAAGAGAAAAACTTATGAATCATGTAAATGGAAGTTATTGAGCTCGTTTTATCATTTGATTCTTTGAGTTGCTTATTGCAACAGAACTTGTTTTTCATTGAATTGAAGAAATTTTAAGGCCTTAATTTTTGCATACACTTTAATGCTAATCCTTTAAGTTAGCATTAAACAATACAATACATTACAATTAAGAGTACAGGAGAATCATGAGGGTGCAAGTCAGATATTTGGTGAAAAGTGGCAAACATGTCTGATGAAAACATGTTTTGAAGCATTTTATCACCCAGTTGGAGGGAGAAAAAAACAAAAAACAGACGCATTGTTCTGTTAAGTGACAGTAGCAAAGGTTTATTTCAGATATGGTGATTTTAGCGAGGCCACAGTTCAGTAACAGAGGAAACGGATGTACAGCCGGGGGGCATCAGACACTCAATCTCTTACTGTAACTGTACATTAAGACCACATGAGCACGACAAGCATGTGGAGCGCCTGGTGGCAAAGAGGTGGACTGAGAAATAAACACACCTGAACACCGAAATACTGTGACCCCGGTTTCCATACGGAGTAATACTCTACAAAACGACTCAAAAGAAATGACTGAAGAGTGTGGCGATAATTAATTGAAGTGTTGCGCTTTTTACAGAAGGCTCAACGCCGACACGATGTCTCAACTTGCTCAGGTGTTTCGACTGTCAACTCTCCGCTTCTTCGATGCGAAACAACGTCTCGTGCCCCCTCCACTCCCCACGTGGTCCTGTTGAGTTCTGCCGTCTCCCATCTCCGCCTAGTTGGCCTCGTCCTTAGACGCTTCGTCGAAATTCTCCACCAGATCTGAAACGACACAAACGCGGAGGTCTGAACTGTCTGAGAGGGAGAGAAAGTCGCATCCGAGCTTTCAAAACGCTCCCAGGAAGAGAGTTTATCTGAAACCTGATTCCTCACTCGTACACAGACTTGCAATGTGCTCAACATACGATGCCTTATGAAAGCATTCACACAATTTACCGTTCTTTCGTCACAATAAAAACCTCAAACTTCACTGTATTTCAGATGAGGCCGACACAAAGTGGTGCACAAATTTGTCAAGAAGGAAAAAAATATACTAAGGTTGTTGTTTTGTTTTTTTTTTAAGTAAAAGAATCAACTTAAATTACAGCAATATAAAGGCCATGCTATGAAAATAAGTTTCTTGTCGACAAAAAACAGTCGCAGTACAAATTATGGCAAAGCACTTCAAGAAGTTGGCTTCTCCCTCCTCTGTGAGAACCACCATGTCCAAGTCTCAGAGGGTCAAAGGTTAAAATGGAAACAATTTTTAAAAACGTCTGGGCAAACAGCAGGAGAACAAAAGGAAACCCAACTCTATCAACAACGTGGTGGTGAGGGTAGTTAACCCCTGTGCCATCACGCGCTTTGACAGCAAAGCGTAATCGTTTGTTGCGTTAGAGAGGACCTGAGAAGTCCTGGGAAAAGCCGGGATCGCACTAATGACAACCTCATGTGTTTGGGTCCAACTTTCTCAGCAAAGAAAAGCAAATAAAGCCGAACATCGTCAAAAGACAGCGATGCATCCTGGGAAGGAAAAACCTGCGGCATTTTATTTATTTAAGGCGGAGGAGGAACATCTTGATGCAATGATCGCACTGCGGGAAAATCCCTCACCTGGAACGTCATCGTCCTCTTCTTCTACTGCTGCGATCGGCGCTTTTCCATCTCCAGCTGAAAGCAGAGGACGCAATCAAAGTTACCTCATTGGCAACGAGACCGGAAAATCGCGGCGTAGCTACGGAATCTGTGACGGCGTGGGGGGGTTGCGGACCCTGTTTGGGGAGAGCCTCGGCGAGTCTCCGCAGGCTCGTCAGGCTGTCGGCTCCCAGCTGGTTGAGGATGCCGGGCAGCATCTCGGTCAGCTGCTTGGTCTCGGCGTGGCCGGTGATGGTGAAGGTGTTGGCGGCGAGGGAGGCCTGCACTTTGGGGTTGTTGAAGTGGATCACCGTGCCCTGGTTCGTGAACATGTTCACCTGGAACGAGACGCTGAGGCGTTACCGAAGGAGACGGGCGCGGACAGGGGGGTGGCGGGTTCTGCCGGGCGCGGCGCCTACCTCTTCAATGCCGGAGATGTTGTTGACGCCGAGCTTCTTTAGGGAGAACTGGAGCTTCTTGTCGTCGGCGGTCGCCGTTCTGTGTACAACCTTCTTCTTTCTGCGGGCGCTTCCCTGTGGGAGAGAGGACAGGGAGGATGCGTCCCAAAGAGTCGTTAACTTCACACTGGAGAAATATTGGCCCTGTCCATCTTATGGAATTGTCTTTTTTTCCCCATGAATGAGTGATCTGTTTAAGTAGCATCTCAAATCAGAGATAGGCTCAGACTTTAACCACACAACTCATAACCATTGATTTTGATTTGTTCTTTTGAGCCGTTTTAATCGTTTGAAATCATTCAACCCAAATACGCTGCGTATAACGGCAAGACTTTACCTTTCCACCGATGCGGACTTGCGCTTGTAGTTTAGCGAGTTTTTCTTGATTCATTATTGCTTCTTTCATCTGCAAATGAAAAGATTGATATATTATAACACGGTGGTAGTGCTGCAGTTATTTACAGACAAATCTAAGTTATAAGAACATAGGACAACATGATGCAGAAATCTCAAGCGCACAAAGACACACCATGTAGATAAAGACATCCCACTGTCAGCTCAAACATTAAATTAGATTATAAACAATGAGTGAAGGTTTTGATCTTGAAATTAACTCACATGAACGACATTTTTGACTTTTGCCAACAGGAAATAAGAATGTAAGTGTAGCCGAGAGGAAATGATTCTCTCAGACACGGTAGAAGCCACAAAAGTTAGAAAATAAAGTCAACTTTATGTTCAGAACTTATTTCTATAAATTTGGATTCTGGAAAAAAAAAGAGTAAATAAGAAAAACTAATATTTTATCATAACAGCCGAATTTAAATTTATAAGGGATTCGTTCATTGTGCTGCAGAGCAATAAAACTAGGAAATGTTGAGATTTCACATATTTACAACAAGTAATTTGGTTATTTTCTCATGACAAAAATTGATAAATCTGACTTAATGAGCTTTTTTACAATTCTTACTTTTGAATAAGATGTTTTACTTCCAAATTTCTGACTTAATATCAACAATCTTCCTACTTCAAAAATTCTTTCCTTGTAAATATGTGCAATTAATCTCAAAATTTCAGAGTTTTCTTGTTTTTAGCAGAAAATAACTGTTTAGTAGCAACTTGGTATAACATATGAAAGTATTTCCTTAAGATGATAAAACTAGTGACAACTTCAAAAAAGAAAAAAATTAACAGGATTGGAAATTATGGAAAAAACGCAAACCTCAAGAAACATACATTTTTAAAGATATAGAAGTAGGCATCGGGAATCTTAATAGGACACCAGAAAGCAAAACTCCAACATTGTTCAAATCTTCCATAAGCAATCTACGAAATACTAAACTACTATAATTACAAAGATCGCAGGTTCAAACAATGTTCACGCAGAAAAAAAAAAAAACTCTGAGTGACTGATCCCAGAAATGTATCTGGGAGAAAGTAGAATCTAACCATTGAAATCAGATGCAATTTATTTTAACACCACTTCCCCCACAAGTCATTTCAGAAACAAGGGTAAAATAAGCAAACCCTGCCTTAAACAAACAGATTTGAAAAAAAAAAAAAAAAAAAATCAGGCTGTTCAGGTTTGACTTGCCAAATCCCATGAAAAAAATAATCACTTAATACCAAGTTGTAACCCCAATTTATTTAAATTCATTTATTTCTACACATTGTGTCATTAGTGCAAAACGGAGCTTTCTGCAAAACGCGATCTGATTGGACCAAAAAAAAAAAAAAAAAAAAATAAAAAAAAAGGAAAAAAATCACGCATATAAACACACATGCGCACGGAGCAGAATTGTCAGTGTGGGTGTGGTAATACTGCAAATGCTCCAGATAAAAGGTTAAAACCATATTAAACAAACAGTCAGTGAACACTGCATGACAAAAAAGCCAAAAGGACAAAATTACCCAATCCGCAGGACGAGTGCTACAAAACTCAAGCTATTCTCCTTATTTCTGGGAGGCACTTTAAACGAGCGAAGCCAAGCAAATAACAATGAAATATTATTAGTCGAACTAAATAAGCCAACAACACGTTATCCAACGTTAAAGGCAAGTTTAGTTAACCTGCATTCAGCCTAAATGAGTTTTTTATAGCTTTTTTTGCGAGGAAGCTGGAGGCTAACTTTGCCTAGCTTAGGTGCTAGCAGCACGGCCTGTCACACCGCCACACAGATCCGTGAGTAAAATTAGCTTCACACCGCGGCGGATATCAGCCATCAGGTCGGGAAAGGCTTTCGTTTACCTCTGGCCGTCTGATCAGGGGATAACAGTGCAGAGAAGAAAGTATTTAAAGCTCCTCACTGACCTGTAAACTAACAGCAGACACATGCGGGGAGCAAGATGGAAGCGAGAGAGGAGGGAGGACGTGACGTCAGACAAAGAAGAGAAGCGTAATTGGGGTTTTTTCTGCCCTGAGTTTAGTTCTGCAGGTTGCAAGCGACGCTCGGTCCGCATGAAAGTGTCTGTAAAACTTTCCTCAAGTCCCTTAAGTTAAATTTAAATCAATTAGTAGGTGTATAAAAACAGTTGTTGTACGTACACGTAGCAACAGTTACAGTTTGACGTCTGTTGGTTGATGTGATTGCTCATTTTTACATTAACAAACATGTACACATACAAACATAAGCAGCATGTTTGATTAGTGCTATGAATTATTAGTTATGACCCAACAAATAACAGAAACAGATTTCACAAAGACACAGCTTACTAAAACAGCTACAGGATTTTCAATAGATAGTTAAATAAGATTAAATACAATACTAAAGAAAACTAGACAGGTGCTTATAAAATGAATATTGTGAATCAGTTTTTCAAAGTGTCTATAAATGGATGGATATCACACAAATACTATTTTTGTACACATTGATAGAGTTCAGTCTTCTAAGTTTCTGGGTGCTTGTGGACATGCATACATATCATTAGGACCTCAAATAAAACTCAAAAATAACTGAAGCTTTAAAAAATTTCCAGAAGAAAAAAAAGTCAAATAATATAAAATAAAAAATATATAAAAATTAACTCAACACCTTCCCTGCCACAGGAGATTAAGCTGTGTTGATGTTTAGAAAGTATTGCACTAAATTTGTTACATCCACAGTTCCTTGCACTTGACTATTGGCTGCACTGGAGGTGAAGAGATAAACTCAGAGATGATTCAGTGATTAGTCCAGCAGCTGCTGCTGATTCCAAAACATCAGTCTTCATTTTTCACATTTGTCTCAAGAAGGGCAGAATGCAACACTTCAAA